CAGATGTTGCATACAGATATACCTTAAACTGGGTCATTTGGAACCCATTACCAGCTTTGTTCCATGTATTAATATCAATATTTCAGAATGCTTATCACTCTTTCTTTATTTTCAGTTACATTAGGCACTACACTCAGCACTTAAGTGTCATTTACAGTGTCTTGTATATGCAGGGCCGGCGCAATTGTGAACTAAGCATTCGCCTAGGGCGCCGGTCTGCTGAGGGCGCCCACCGATATTTTTCCTGGTGGGATGCCTGCCCCTGACTGGGGCCGCAGCACTGGGTGGGTGGCTCTTGAGCAGCCCCTAACGCCGGGCCGATCCTCAAGGTGCCCGAAGGATGCTAGGTAAGACAGTGCTAGGTAAGGCAGAGCAGGTACCTGCTTACCTTGATGGCAGGTGCCTGCTCTGCCAACAAATGCCAGTGACCTGAGGAGAGGGGGATGGAGAAGGCAGGTGGCGAGGGAGGCTGTTCTTGCAGCCTCTCACTTCTCTCACGGGCACCCTCTGTGATGCTGGGAGCTGGAATATGATGTCATTCTGGCCCCGGCTTACTAAACAGTGAGCTGGAGGAGTGATGAGCTGCCCCACACTGGATCCCAGGGAGGTAGGGAGGCTGGATGGGCCTCAAAAAATAAAATTGTGTAAGTCTGTGTGTCATTGAGTGTGTGAGTGTTTGACTGTCAGTGAGTGTGTATATGTGTGTGTGTGTGTGTATGTCTGTCAGTGAGTGAGTGTATGTATGTCAGTTAGTGTCTGCATGTGTGTGTATGTGTGTTTGCCTGTGAGTGGTGAGTGTTTGACTGTCAGTGTGTGTGTGTGTGTCAGTGAGTGTCTGCCTGCTTGAGTCTTTCAGTGAGTGTATGTATGTCAGTGAGTGTCTGTCTGTGTGTGTGTGTGTGTGTGTGTGTGTGTCTGTCAGTGAGTGAGTGTATGTATATCAGTGAGTGTCTGTCTATGTGTGTCAGTGAGTGTATGTCTGTCAGTAAGTGTTTGTGTGTCTGTCAGTAAATGAGTGTATGTTTGTCAGTGTGTGTGTGTATGTCTGTCAGTGAGTGTGTGTTTGTGTGTCTGTCACTGAGTGAGTGTATGTGTGTCAGTAAGTGTCTGTGTGTGTGTGCGTCTGCCAGTGTGTGTCTGTCAGTGAGTGAGTGAGTGACATGAGGGGCGGCAAAATTTAGCTTTGCCTAGGGCGGCAGAAATCCTTGCTCCAGCCCTTTGCATATGTATTCACCCCCTTGTGTGTGCCTTGAATTTAATTTCATTGAAATATTTGCCATTTAAACAATATACCTAAAACTTTGAAGTTGTCAATTATTTTGTGACACAAAAGTTAATTAAAAAAAAAATAAAGTGTGCTGGTTGAATAAGTATTCATATCCATTACTAAAAAATCCCAAATAAGCATCGACGCAATCAAATGCACCCAGATGTCACATAGTTAATTTAACTGTCACTTGGTCCCAAAGTAAAGTCACATGTCCAGACTTTGTTAGAGTTCATATCTAAACATAGAGCATCGAAATAAAGTTATAAAGTTATAGATAAAGTTATGGAAATGCACCAGGGTTGGGTTAAAAAAAAATAGAAAATAAAATCTAACACCTGGAACATTACAAAGAGCACTATTAAACAGATTATTGAATAATGAAAACAAGTGTAACTCTATCTCAAAAAGATTGTCCACCAAAATCCAGTGACTGTTTAGAGAGGGCATTGATCAGGCAAGTCACCATGAAGACAGTAATAATTCTGAAAGAGCTGAAGAGCTGTTGAAATTGGAAAAACTTCAATGGGCAACTATAACCCAGACATTCCAAAAAGCTGATTTAATGGGTAACTGGTAAGAAGAAAATCGTTGCTGGGATATCAAATACTGAAATACTATTTGGTGTTTGCCAAAAGGCATGCAGAAGACACAGCAAACTAGGGAAAATATTCTGACGAGAGCAAAATTTCAATTTTTGGCATTAGCATAAAATGCAATGTGTGGTGCGAAACCAACGCTGCTCGTCACCTCGAGAACACACTCTGCAGCATGGTGGTGGCACTATCTCATTGTGGTGATGCTTTTCTTGGCAGGGCCTGGTCAACTGCTTATGATTGGTGTTAAAATAAATAAAACCAAAAACAGGGCAATTGTAGAGGAAAATCTTCCACCATCTTTTCACCTTCCATCAGAATATTGATCTTAAACACATAGACAAATCTACACTGGAATGATTTAGATTTCAATAACTTGAAATCTTAGAATGACTCAGTGATAGCACAAAACCCAATTTGGTTGAACATCTGCATAAATACATGGAAATTGCTCTTCAGCAACTATTACATAGTAATCTAGGCTGAATAAAGTTCTAAAGCCCATCAAGTTCAACCTTCAAAGCCTATTCCTTTATGCTGTTGATACAAACAAAGGCAACAAAAAAACCCTACTATAGTAATTTTCAATTATGCCACAAAAGGGGATACAATTCTTTCTTGACTACATAATGTCATGATATCAGATTTTTTCCCTGGATCAGCAATCTTTTCACATACATATAAATTATATCCAGGAATATTCTGTTCTTGCAAAGAAACAGCTATTCCTTTAAAAAAAAATATATATAAATATATGGAAAAGACTTATTCTGAAATACTAACAAATGTAATTTCAGCAAAAAGTTATGCTATCATGTACTGACTAAAGGTGGTAAAAACATAAATTCAACTAACCATTACATGTTTTTCATATCAAATAATAGCCTCGTATTGGCCTCATGTTGGCCTTGATTTAATATTTTTGCATTTGTTTTTCCAATGATTTAATATTTTTTGTATAAAGTTTTACAATTATTTAATATCTTTAAAAAATATTATCTTGTAATATTTTCTTTTTTTAAATATATTGATATATTATTTTTTTTACATATTATATATTTTTTGATATTTGAATATTTTGAAAAATTATTTTAAAATGTTATCCAAAAATATTAAATCATTTAAAAGGTCAATCTAGCAATGGCCTCTATTTAATAAACTTTCCAGATGATTTAATAAGTTCCCCGTTAAAATCTATGGGATGGTATTTTTTTTTTTTTTTTTGTAAAAACAAAATCATTTGGAAAGCTTTATTAAGTCATTTGGAAAGTTGTTAAATTGAGGGAAATATTAAACCGAGGCCGCTATTTTCCACGATAAACTATTTTCACCTTCAGAGTTTTCAGCATGTAGTGTAAAAAGGTACAAATTCCAGTGAACTATACTTGATCTCCATGGTTAAAAACTACAAACTGTAGAAACATTATGTACAAACTGTAGAAACATTACTACAAACTGTAGAAACATCCAGGAAAACTTTATGTTTATGCAAAGAGATGAATGTCTATGACATTTAGACTGCATATTGAGTTAATTATTCCAATCCTTAAAAATTAACATTCATTTGATGTGGTCAGACTAAATAACAACGACATAGCACGATAAGTTTTATAATGCAACAAAGCTGCCAAGTTCCAGAAAACCCTGGTTTGCCCCTAGGGATTACATTGGCTAGCAGTGCCAAGCTGAAGGGGTACTTTGTGACCTTCATATGCCAACTACAGAGATTTTAATAAAAGAATTATGAGGTTGTAGGTGGGAAGAAACTCCAGGGAGTATGACACCCTATTTTTGTAACATGTACACAATTTCAAATACTAGTTAATAAATTCTAAATGGAACCACTGTAATCAACTGATTGCTGAGCAAACAAAAAATTAGTTTATTCTCTAATTAGTTTATTGGGACACTGATATTAAATGTAGGTGCAGGAAGGAGTGATTAATCAGCTGTTACTCATGTTTTCATTGTTTTTTATAATGGTGAGGCCAAAGAAAGTCATGCATAATAAGCGTATGCTGTTGATTGGTGTACATGTATAGTATACCAGTAACTCTGTCTTTTATAGACAGAGATATAGCTTCATTAGATTTGATTAAGGCTCATTAAAATCTAGGTCTTCCAAGAAGAAATTTACTGATATATAATAAGTAAAAAAGTATATATATATATATATATATATATGCATAAGTGTGTTTGTGTGTGAATGTTATAGAATTGTACAATATGAATAACATTCGAACACAAAAAAAGCTTAAGTGGTTGTACATTTGCCAAGTTAATTAGTAAAATTCACTTTTGTTTGCTATAACAGTGTTGTGTCAACACTTTAGTGAGTCAGGCAAAACACATTTATTTACAACAGTGACTAATAAAGACACTAAAGATAAAGTTACAATATGTGAAATGAATGATGACGATATAAAATACTAAAAATAAATCAGGAATGTTTTCTATATGTAAAGAGCAGAATGATGCAGGAGATATGGAGGGCTATCACTTGCCTTCAGACCCAATACTACTACAAGTGTTTATGTCACAGCATAATGCTACTTAATAGTGCATGCCAGCTTTAATTTGTCAGCTTTGTAATTGTGCTCAGTTTAGCATGCTACAATTCAAAGACCAAACAAAATTACAGGCATAGTGGGAACTGCACAAATGCTATCAGTGGTGGCATGAAGAGTCACACTGTTGGCTGGATTCTTTTAATAGAGTAATGCTTTTCTCTGCTTACTAAATAGAAGTAGGTCCATGGAAGTCTGAGGGACAATTGCTATTGAGTACCTAGAGTAGACTCAGCCAAAATGAAACGTTAGCCCTAATTAATGTAGCAAAGATTATATTTAAAATGAAAATGCCAGAAAGTTGTTTCAAAATTCCATGCATGTATCAGGCTTAGGCAGTAGACAACCAATTTTCATAAATGCAACATATGCTTTTTGCAAGAAAAGAATAGCATGACTGGGAGTGGCCAGTATGCAAGATGAGTCAAAAGTTAGTAACCAATCATCGTGCATAGCTTGGTCTATATCAATGGGGGTATAGGGGTATCTCATGATTTCTTGAACAGCGTCCATGGAATCCTAACTGCAGAATAAGGGGTTACAGAAATTAAGTATTTTTAGGAGTCTTACAAAGATCTGGGTGATTCCCGACTTACATTTTTCATAATGTTAACACCAAACCTTAAGATAATATATTGTGTTCTTACATATAACTTACCTATGTCAGAGCACTGTACGACACGGAGATGGCACTGGCAGCGAAATGGGCATGTAGGTCCTGTTGGTTGCTGTGGTGTAGCAAATTCACCATCACCAGAAATGACTGGGTCATCTTCGAGCATGAAATCAAACAAACCTCTTTGGTGAAAGGGCTTAGCCCAACAGACAGTTACAAGAAGTATGAGGATAGCTGTCCTCATGGTGTTAGATCTGCAGGTCAAGTACAGCGCAAATCCCTAGGGATCAGATAAAAATGTTAAAAGTGAATGTTTATACTGAGATGTGTTATTCGGAGAAATTCTAGGGTCTAGAACTATCCTTTTCTAGTCAAACAGAGAACTGTGCAAAACACAATTTTATACATTTCTAAGTTTTATACATTTCTAAGTTTACTATATACATTATACTCAATCTCTAAATGCATTGCTAGTTGATTTATCTAAATGATGTATCTATAGTACGGGAAGAAGTAATAAAATATTTGTTGGCTTTTCAAGATTTCTGATTTAGGACATTTAATGCAACATAGTATCATCAATAACAGCATCTGATGAATTTTAGCCGAAGGTTCCATCTAATAAAGTTACTCACTAAAGGCAAAGTTACAATGGGAAATAAATGGTGACCATATAAAATACAAAAAACAAGATCTATTTCTATAGGTAAAAAGTAAAAACACAACCCTTGAATAATAGAATTAAGTGATCTCTGGGACCTACTTTCCCACATTTCCCATCATCTAACCACATTTTCCTACATTTCCCATCATTTAACCGCAAAGTGTGCAGACAGTTATTCATCTTACTGTAAGTAGTTTATTTTTGTTGTATTTCAAAGACTTTCATAAAAAAATGGCATGGTTTCTTTAAATGGTTCCCAATGATACCTACACAAATGAAGCTTGGACTGGTTACATACTGCAAAATTTACAATTGTATAAAATTATTTTAAAAAGAAAATTCACCATAAATGTTATGTTGCAAATCATGCAAAAATGTTGATCCTCTAGTGCGGCCATGGATTGAAATTCAAGTTACATCCATAGGTTCTATATTTATTTAAGCATGAAGTCATTGCTGTAAAAAACCTGGGTCCAATAGTGAAGGGGGTACTGACATAAACCCTGAAGTCTGACCATTAATGGGAGGTATTTCTGCTGGTATAAATGTAATGAAAATATTAATGTCCTCTATAAATACATGTAAGCTGTTAACACATGTATAGGAGTTGTATATTTGATCAACAAATAAGATAATATAGGTCACATAGATAAATAAGATTATATAATGATAATTTTTTGTAAATCTGCTAGGTTTGGGCTCTATGTTTGAACACGTCTAATAAACAGATTGTTGAAAATTTGGTCTATACCAATTACGAACACATTAAACTGATAGTATGTAGCAAGTATTATGTATGCAGAAATGGCAGCAAAAATCATGAATTAGTTCCAGGTAATCTCTGATGCTGCAACTATTTATTACTATTTAAGTCCTGGAACACTTATTGAGCAGTTGGCCGACATGAGAAAAGTTGTGGCTGATTTTTAACACTATGACTAATGAAACATTAAGTATAATGCATTCAATGGAAAACACGACATTAGCCAGTCAGAAATGTAACAGTATTTGTAATAAACTTTGAATAACTTTGAATAAAACTTTGAAAGTTTAGAAAGCAAATTTGAAGGCTTGCATATGTCACAATGCTGTCTGTCTGTCTACCTGCCTGTTTGCCCTCCTGTCTGTCTGTCTGCCTGTCTGTCTATCTGTCTGTCTATCTATCTTTATGAAAAACCAATTAACTCTGCATATCATTTCTACAGTCTATCCTTATATAAACAGGAAGTGATATTACCACTTCCTTTTCCTCCCTATGAAGCAAGCCTGTAATCAAGATGACCTCTTTGTTCCTCATATACCAAACACATGTGCTATTCCTATTTGCTATTTTGTTTGTGAATCACTAAAGAAACAAAAACAAGGAAATGGGAATATGTATAAAGAAATAATGCTATTTATTGTAATCTAATAAAACGGGGTTGCCCGAAAGGTGGATCCCCATATGTTTTAAAACTACAGTTTCCATGCTGCTTTGTCATTCTAAAGCATTCTAAAGGTATGCAAAGCATCATGGGAGTTGTAGTACTACAACATCTGGAGATCTACCTATTGGGCACCCCTGCAATAAAATTATGAGTGCGCCACAAAAGTATGGCAAAATGCATCAATTTAATATTGCTTTTCTATAATGTTTTTGTGTGTGTGTGTGTGTGTGTGTGTTCATCCTTGATTGGCAAAATATAGAATTTGCTAATTGCTTTGACAGATGCTGAATTAAAACCTATATGTCTTTGCGACTGAACACAAGTTGTCCCTTACCATTAAATCTTAAGATAATGGCACAGGCATGCTGCAAACTTCTTTAGTGTGTCAAAGAAATCTAAAGTGGAAAAAATGTTGAATGTAATGTAAAAGGAGCTTGCTTGCCAAATCTTGGAAAACTGCCTGTGGTATTTGCTTTCAGCAACATTTTCCTTTCAAATTAATCATATTTATCTTACATTGTGTCATCCAGTTTGTGAGGACAAGATACAACTGCTCCATATAGGTGCAGTGATTCAATGAATTTAACTTTTCACTGACTGCAGATTGTCAAAGTATATCCCCCGCAGCAACTGTATATTGTCAAATGGAAAAAAAATGCAATAAAATGAAATTATATTGTATTAAGCATAAATAATACAATGTTTGGAGTGACACATATCTAGTTATTTACACAAGTGCCTAGTAAGTCGAAGTGTGCTTCTCATATACAGTAATAATGCATGTTTTATAATTTGCATTTAAAGTATATATATATATATATGTAAATACATTTTTTTAAAACTGTTTGTTTTACTGTCATTTTAGGCACAAGGCTAAATGAATGATGCACAAGCACAGCCATTCTATATATAGAACAGTTAAATGCATAGAGGTATACTTACAGTCTGGGATCCAATCAAATTGAATGTTTACATATTTATACTTCCTACAGTAAACATAAAACCTAAAGTACTTGAATGGAAACCTTAAACTAGCCATTTGTTTTAAAAATCTATTAATTAAAGACATTGTGCTAACTAAATTGCATTAGGGATACCTTTGGAGCAGGTGTAATTATTTTAGTCCAAATGCAATGATTTTATATAGTATAAACATGAAACATGAAACACAATGTGTTTTATTTTCTATTCACTCTATCTGTTTTAAGTAATAATATATATGCTGTCCAAGTAACAATGTAGCCAGAGCCAAATAAAACAAATCTCTCTTAATTTTAGAGAACTTTATATTTAAATAACTATAGGTATAACCTAAGATTATACTCAACAAAGCTATTATTTTTTTTATTTCTTTTTTCAATAGATGTCATTCAAAATAGTTATTTGAAACTCTTGAGCTTTTAAGTGGAGAAAATAAGCATTCTTCAGACAGTTACATCAATTTGAAACAAATAACTTTTAAGTACAGTTTCCTATGCAGAAGGCAACCCAATATATAGCAGCAGAGTAGAGAATTGTACTCAGAGAGAAAACCAGAAACAGATTTGTGTGTCTATACATGTATTTATAGACAGTGTGTGGGTGTCATATGCACAATAAATGTATATGTGTGTACAGGTCTAATAGCCTTCTAACCATCAGTTATATTTTTCTGTCTTTACACTTTGTACTCACAAGCAAACACACACACACACACATATATAAATCCATAGACCATTAACATGTATATCTTCTAGATCTTAAAACCATCTGGGCTATAGAGGTCATTTTTACAGCTAGCCTTTTCTCACAACATATGCCTCTATTGTTCTCAGTGAATCAAGAAAGTTTAATCAGTAACAAAGTAAACTTCACATTTATTGTAAATCATACCTTGTAATCCTGGGATTTTCAAGAAGAACTCTCAAAGAAGAGATGTAATTTAAATATTCAGTCCAAGACAAAAGGAGTTTGCAGGTGTGCAAAGGAGGAGGGGGTAAGCCAAGAACTCACAGACTGTCAGTTTGTGGAAAAACCCTCCTGCCTCTTTCTCTAAGCACTGTTAAAGAGAATACAGTTTCTCTCAATGAACACAATTCAGGCTGACACCCACATTAGATCATATGGTAATGATATGTCTCCAACTCTTTAGCCAGAATTTTATCAGGCTTTACTTTTGCCTTTCTAAGTTATCTGCGCAGTGTATTTCATTTTTTTTTCTTAAGATTTATTATTTGTTTACTTTGGCTACGAACTGGCTGCTTTTACGTTAAAATGAAGTATGAAATGGAACTTAAAGGAATGACATGTCATATTTTTAACTTATGCACCTAAACTACCAGTGTATGTATAGTACATAGAAACAGTTTTTTTGTTTTTTGTTTTGTAAGCTATAAAGAAACTGCAGGTTGCTGTATTAACCCAGCAAGTCCACATAAATGTTCATACTCCAATGGCACTTATAGGGTTAATACATTCTATTTGACATGTCACATGACAACAGTCGTTATATGTGTTATATATATATCTATTGTATATATTATATATCTGTTGCCTTTATAATGGACTTATCAAGCAACTTTAATTCTACAAGAATTCTATCATTCCTAAAAAGTAAGTTGTGAACTAGGTACAATCATAATTCATAAGTCACAGCTCGCAGCTTTTTAAGAATGCAAGTAGGATTCTCATTTAGCTGCAAGCTATGTAAATAGCACATGAAAGCACTGTAAGTGTCAAGATTCTTATATTATTTCCAAATGGGATTTTGGGCCTACGGTTTAGGGCAGAACCTCTAAAAAGATAGCAAAGTTTTCATTTTTTTTTTTCAGTTTTATTGCAATATTGAAGCGCAATATTGATGCATTTGCACATATTAATAAACCCTGGGATTTAAGCATAGACATTTCCCCACTTGCAAAAATGGCATCAAGGACTGCTTCTACCATACATTGAACTCATATTAATGCCTTGTTGGTCAGATTGAATGTAGGCTACATTGTGTCTACTTTAGGATGCATCAATAAAACTGAAGACTATATCTGTGAGACAAGTATGCAAATGGTTCTGAGATGGAACATGCACCACCATGCCTGCCCTAAGGCTAAGACCAGGTGCAGCTACAGCCCCTTCTATTAAGTAGAGGTAAAAGGTTTACCTTTCATTATTTACATG